TGGGGTAACCTTTTTTCACCTTTGTTCTCTTTAGGGTTACGGGAGGACATATATTAACATCTTCCAATGACCCAAAACTCAGTATATAGCGGGCTATTTCCTGCTATATGCTGAGAGCACCGCAGCCGGGAAGGATCCTCACAATACTGTGGAGATCCACCACACTGGCTGATTGACAGCTGGCTCTAGAGGCAGAGCCAGCTATGCCCGCCCCCTCCCCCGTCCGTTCCTCCAGTCAAGACTGGAGGATCGGAGAGGGGAGTGGGGAATCCCTGCGGGGAGTGGTGACTTATAGTCCCGCAATATACTGAGAGCACTGCAGTGGGACGGATCCAGACAATACTGTCTGGATCCACCAAGCTGAATGATTGACAGCTGGCTCCCCCATCCGTTCCTCCACTCAGCGCTGGAGGATTGGAGAGGGGAGAATCCCTGCAGGGAGATGATCGGAAAGTGAGCGAGCGACAGTGTGTGTTCGCTAACTTCCAGATCAATAGAGCCAACGCTTTATTGAGGCATTCAATGATATGCCTCAATAATTTGCCTCAATATTTCACAGAACAAAGGGAAACAAATAAGAGATGTTCATTGATAATGGTGACATACACTTTAAATTTGGGATTGGTCACCAATAGTGAATAGTGAATGTGCCTGGTTTGGTTTCAAGGTCTGTTGTCAAATTCATTGAAAATTATGAACTTTACTTCAAACCCAATTGAAGTCAATGGGAGGTAAATCAATTTCGGCCATTTCAAGGGATTATCAAACAAAGGGCATGGGGAGTTGAACAGTGTCAGTATGTACTAATGCAAAAACAATTGTAAAATGTAAAACAATATCGTAAGGCCCTCCTTTTATGTGACTTTGAGGGAAACATAGGACAACACCATTCCTTTCTAATACATGCTTGCACAATGCCTTTATGCCATATGCAGTGTTACAGAACAGTACAAGAAATATTGTAATTATGAGACACCAGGCAGCTTTTAATGGAGATATCAACATTCCAGCGTAACTATTTCACAGAACAAAATTAAGAAAAATATTGTACTGATGACATACACAGTATTTAAACACTTTCAGTAGATCACATTTTGAAAAGCACGGACAACAGTCACCCCTAATCCAAAAATCAACATTAGAGTGTATTTATTTTACAGAAAAATAACAGAAAATATTGTAGTAGAGTTCATGCACATTATTTAAGCACTTGCACTAGGCTGAATTTTGAACAGGAGAGACAATAGCCAGCGTTTAATGCAAAATTCGACATTACAGTTTATCTTTTCATAGAATAAAGCCAGCAAAATGTTACACTGGCTCCATAATGAGTATTTAAGCTTTTTTACGAGAGTTTTTTCATTGGGATACACCAAGCAAAAATGTAGTTTATTGCAGTTTACCAATCCTATATGTGGTGGCTGCATTAGTTTTCTTTTTTTAGGCCACATAATAAAAAACAGGGACAGAAGTCAGTTTTTTTTTATTCAAAATTAAACATAAGAGTGTATTTTGAAGGAACAGCAAATATTGTACTGACTGCATATTCAATATTACAAAAATACGTTTGAAAGACACAAGTTAACTTTACATTAGAGAGTAATATTTCTCCATAAAGATCAGCAAAACATTGTTCTGACCAAATGTAAGCACTTTAATGGGATGCAGTTTAACCAGGAGAAACTAGGCAGCCTGGGAAGAGCTGCTGATGTGTTACAAAAAAAGCCAGGCTGTTGAACTATGTGAAGCAGCTTTGAGGAGAGCCTACACCTCCAGGGGCAGTGCCATCCAGTGGAATAGCTCTTCTTCAAGTTGCCCCTGGATAACATTTAGCCTCACTAATGGTGTGCCTATATCTAATTTTCCTCCTCTACAATTGCTGGCACCCAGAAACAGTCTGCCATCTTCTTTTCCCTCCTCATTGCTTGACCCCACTTGGTGGTAAGCTTTAGCTGCAGGAACATTCCTGCCCGTTGCCCTCTCCCTCTATGCACTTGGCACTTTCTTGCTATACATCCAATAGGAATCCGTTTACTCATGTTGTGGCGAAATAATTCAGGCTGCTCCTTTATCTCAATCTGTGGAGCAACAGCAGGATTAGCTGTAGCAGAGGAGGAAAAAGGTGCATTTACAACTGCTGAGGAAAATGTGCTGCCCAGCACCTTGCTGGCGGAAGAGGATGTGAGAGGCTCTATTAATCACTTCATGACCTCCTCTGCATGCCAGAAAGAAAAGGCAGATGTGCACTGCGGATGCAGAACCTGTTCGCTTCCCATTAGCTGCGTGTTTAAACCTCTGCCTCCCTTTAGATCACCCACACATGATGAACATAGGGGAATGCCTAACTTTAATGCCAGTTATGGAAATGAGGATGTGGTAGTTTGGTGCACTGAACAATGTGGTGATTTGGTGCACTAAACTACTGGACTAGTATGTTGTGATGGGCTGTAAAAAAAAGGGCAGATTTGCCTGCCTGTGCTAGCAACAAGTTCACAAACAAGTAGCAGAATTATATTGAAATAAAATATGCATCTCTAAAAAAAAACTGACACTAAACAAGCTCCACACTAGTGACCATCTGTCTTCTTATATCACTAGAAGATGTCAGCATTAGCTTCTGTCTTTGTTCCAGCCCACCTTGGAATATTATTCCTCCAGCTTTCAGCTGTGCACTAGTGTTTTTTTTTCTCCTGTTGTACTTTCCATGAATCATTTCAGATCAGAAACCCAACACAGTTAGTGGAACCTCCTCAATATTGCTAGAGTTGAGTCCCTTTGTCTTATTTATGTTATATTGCTGAATATAACCCACAAGCCACACAATTTTGGAATCTCAGTCTAAAATCAATAGATATTTGAAATGATCAAACAAAATAAATATCCTTGATGCAAACTGTGATTTGTGGATGCTTTAAAGTTAATTTGTAAAAAAAAAAGTAGAATGCTAAACCTATTTTCATACATGGCAGGCTGTCCTTTAAAAAATATATTTATATTTCAAAGCATTTTTCAATAAAAATGGTAGTGGTAGGACTTGCTATATATAGGCTGTGGTTTGTAAAACCAGGGCAGGAAACATGAAACGCAATGATTCCTACATAAGTATTACGGCTCAGATGTTTTACATTGTACTGATTTAATGGATAATATTTTCCATTAGTTTCCTGTAGTGCTGTGACCTTATGGAGTAGTAAATAATAACCTCAGCTGAGGTTGCATTTCCATAAAAACATTTTTAGACCCCCCCTAAAAAAAAGATCCTTCAGACATATATTTAGTTATATTAATCTGTATATTTTTATTATAAACATTATTTATATACCACATCAAATACACAATACTCATCTTTGTTGCCCAACATTGCAAACAACATATGGTGGCTAAGCTGAAGTTTACTAACCTGTACACTGCCAATTTTTGGTGACAATGTTAAAAGTGTGTTACCAGCCTTTGATGTGATTAAATAAAGGCCAAAGTATGAGGTCACTGAGTGTATAATGCTGGTCTCTAATTTTAGTAAAACAGTAACCGTTACAGTAGAAAGCAGTCTTTTGTGGGGCCTTACTTGGTTTGGACACTTTGTTTAAAAGAGAACAGATCAGGTACTGTCTGTATGTAAATGTCAGCACTTTATGAGTTTCCCATTACTCCTACAGGCAGGTCATGTCAAGTGTCCTCAGTATTTCTCTGGAGTTCTCTATGTTTTGTAAAAAAAATAACAATTGCAGAGGTCTGACACGTTGTCTGCTGGGTCAGAGCTTAAACTCTTTAAACAACAGGGAGCATGAACTTTGTTAATTAGGGAACTTTCACTCTGCCTCAGCAGTGAGCAGGGTGGACCTCTGCAGAGAGACCACCACTTTCACACATAAATCAAGCCTTCTATTTCCTAACTCTTGATCCTGATCCTGTTGGTACTGATCCTGCTGTTCCAGAAAAGAATAAAAAACACCTTTTGCTCCTTACATGCCCAAAATCCTCAGTATAATTCAAGCCAGGTATACTGAATAAGCCATCGACTTCTTTATTTTCTTGGATAATCCAAAACCAAGATCTCCCTACCATAATTCCCACCTGCGCATGTTTCAGTACCTTCGGTAGTGTTCTTCATAGCATACAATAAAGAATAAAACCAGCAGGGAGGGTGTGAGCGTCTCATAGTTCTATTTGTAGGTCTGCATATCCAGGACCCCAGTTGTAAAGACTGCGCTAGTAGAGGTTCTGAGACATATAAGAAATAGTCAGGTGGTATAACACTCCCATTCCCTGTGCAGTGACCCTTGAACAGAAAATAAATTGACCCATCTGACTCCTCTACATTGGTCATTTACTAAAGAGGAATTTACTTTTCAGTCTAATAAACTTGTGTTTATTTCAAACATTCAAACATCAGCCCTCTAGTTGCACGATATGGTTAAAGGCATGTGGACACCCCTCCAAATCATTGAGTTCAGGTGTTTCCAGTAAAATGCACCATTAATTTTACAGCATACTAAGCATTTTAGTCAATTGTGCACTTTCAAAATAATGGCAACAGTTTGAGGAAAGGCCTTTTATGCCAGCTTGACTAGGCTTCTGTGCGCAAAGCCAAGTCCATAAAGACATGGTTTGACATAATTTGGCAGGAACTTAAGTGATCTGCACAAAGGGCACTTCGACCCCATTGAACACCTTTGGGCTGAATTTGAATTTCGATTTTTCTTATGCAGTATGAGGGCCTGACCTCAGAAAGGCAGTTTGGTCTGAATGGGAAGACATTCCTTTAGGAACTCTAATTGTTATTTTGAAAGCCTTCCTTGAAATGTGAAGGTTGTTAGAGCAGCAAACGTCATGACTATGGTTTTGGAAGGAGATGTTTAATAGTTGTGATGGTCAGGTGTCTGCAAACTTTTGGTAATATAGTGTTGAAGTGGAATGCATTATGCCAACAGGCCGGCATTGATATGCAGAATCAATACATATATTTTCCGTGCTTAATTTTTTTTTTTTCCTCTCCGAAGGCTGTAACTTCCATGGTGGCCTTTACAACAGTTCTATGAAATGGCAAGACCTTTCACAACCCTGCATCACACGGCAGTGTCAGGTAAGATGCCAATGTTATTTTAATAAGTTTTCATTCGTTATTAAACAGGTATAGTGGGAATATTAACATTTCATAATATATAATGTAAATTATGTAAAAAATAATAATATCTATTGATGAATACATAATATTATAGAAAATTCATAAAATAGTGGCTGTATAGTAATAATTAAGAAATGGATGACTTTAAGCCTAGTAATTCCAGAGCAGAACACTGACAACTAATATTTTTGCGTAAAGATTTATTTTCAGGCAGCAAATATTTTCTGTCATTTTTAATGCTTATTGTGCTGTATTACCATAATTTTATTATATACAGACTCATATATTATCCCTCTATTGACTGTTTGTCATTGCAATCACTTAGCCTCCCTTCTCAAGTGCTGAAATAAAATCTAAGTCACATAGAGTAATGACGGTCTTTCCACTTAATTGTAAATTGTAAAGACCTAATCATTTCATTTTTTTAATCTAAAGAGTCTTTTGGTGCTTTCTTATCCTGAAGATAAATCAATGTCTGTTGCCCTTTAAAGGAATCCTGTGAAAAATAAAGATATTATAATAGCTCATAGCTGACATCTTTTGGAAATGCTATTTGTTGGTTGGAAAGCTTATCAGTTGTTTTTGGGGTCTGTGACTCAAGAGAAGTATGCAAATAAGAAGTTCTGATATCCCAATTACTTCACGTGCTGCCCGGTTTTGGGTCAGTAAGTCAAAGTACTGCAATCAAAGTTTCATTATGATTGCCAGACAACTAGCATTTTGTGAAGGAGATCATCACTGGAAGAATATCTAAATCTAAGAAGAAAAAAATAATATGTTGCAGCGTACCAGTCCTTGCATGTTGTGGTAGCATTGGACAGCAGCATCGTTAAACTGTGGGGAGGGTAGCATCAGATGAACTTGTAGAGCTAAGTGGACTAAATGACTGAATCAAATTAAAGCCTAACTCCAGCTAACACATTTTCAGCAGTTACAGCGGCAGGTAATTTTTTTCCTTTTGGGATAAAGGTTTTAAATGTTTTATATGTGCCCTGTTTACACCATAAACTTGCAGTGTTGATTAGAAAAACACAACTCAACAGACATTGCATGAACAAGCACTCAGTCCTTTAAAGTGCTGTGTGTTGGCAGCCCACAGCGGGACTTAGGAGCTGACTCCAAAAATGTTAAAATCTAAATTTTAAATGACATTCATCAGGTGATAAAACATAGAACTCCAAATTTAATAAATACTATAGGGGGAATTTTTTTTAAAACAAGAGCAGGCATAATCTGAAGCAGTTACCCATGGCAACCAATCAGCTTCTTTCTTCAGTTTGTTCAGTTAAGATTTGAGAATGAAAGAGAGAGAGATTGGTTGCTGTGCAGAGCTGCTCCAGATTTTGTCTGCTCCATTTTTGATAAATTCCCTTCAATGTGATTTATTCTATTCTTTTAATGTTTAATATGTAGCATTTATTAAAATATTTCATAAAATGTTACCATGTTTTATAAAAAAAAAACAAGCAAAAAACCCCCATTGATGACATTAGTAGAGTCTACTGACGATATAGTGAAATTACTGCAGCGGCACAGACTACTCCGTCCTAATAACTATTTTTTTTCAATTACAGGAAGGGGTTATTACAGAATCTGATGTTCAGTGTCTAGTTCACTGTAAGAACCCTATAAAACAACCAGGATTGTGCTGTCCTACATGTCCAGGCAATTATTAATTTACTTACATATTGTATAATTACACTTTCTTTTCCTTCTTTCCCCTCTTTCCCTCCTTTTCATCTTGACCTTCCTTCCTCTCATCTCTTCAGTATTGTTGTATTTCCTTCATGTATTATTGTGCCTGTGTATATGATATCTTTATAAGAGAGCAGGTTTTACTGGACCGTGAAATTGTATGAGCATTATTAAGATGTGATAAATCTGGGCAACTCAAAATGAACATATGATGAAACAAATACAGAAGCAGAGGTTAACTTAAGTGGACTTCAAAATTTACATGGAGAGCTTAATTTTTCAGTTGAAAGTCATGTTTGAACCTGCTCCTTCTTCCCTCCCAAATCCTCCTATTAGCTGGCTTAGCAATGATCAAAAAGGAGACTTGATGCTGGTGTGGGGCCAAGCTCAAAGTATATATAAATTCAGCTGCCTGTGTCTCTGAATCTACTGATTGTTTTGCATGCTGTTTTCACTGAAGTTAAATTCTGATTGTGCATATTGTCATCATATGCTGACTTTGAATTGTCCAAGTTTGTGACTGAAAAAATATGTAGACTGCCATTGCTATCTTACTCAAAAACGCTAGGTCTCTGACTTTCACGTTAATCTATTGGCTTTAATACTTTCTACGTCAGCAAACTGGTGCAGGTACAGGGGCCAGAAGTCTGAACTTCACAAGGAACTTTACCCCACTTTATGGGCTCACCTTTGTGCAGAAGGGCACAGTTCTGGCGAAGCAGAAAAGGGTTTTAAAGCCCTTCATGACTGGGTCCTTTTTTCATTTTTGCACCCATGTTATATTCCACATTTTAGGCCTGCAAATTACTTAAAACCCCTAAACATTATATATTTCCTAAAAGCCAAGACCCTATAGAATACAATGGTGGCAGTTGCAAATTTTTATTTTGCACAATATTATACTTCTTATCAACCCCAAACTGTAGTGCAAAATGTACTTAAATGCCCCAAAACACAATAAAATACCCATTAAAAAAATTAAATATATAAGATGAGGTTACAACGAGTAAATAGATACCCAACATGCCAGGTTAAAAATTGTGCGCGGCCGTGAAACGGCGACAAAATTCAGTACCCCAAAAAGTCCATAGACGAAGCTTTAAAAGCCCCCACAGGTTATCAGTTTAGAGATACCCAAAAATACTGGCTTTACAATTACTGCTCTCACGGTGATACCCAATATGTGTAGCACGTTCATCGTTTTCATACGTAGGCGCACCCGACGCATGTTTACGTGAAGAAGCGCATGCTCCTGGGGCGGGGTACTTTACATTTTTTTAAATTATTTTTAGATTTATTTTATTTAATGTTAATTTTTAAAACTGTTTTGTTTTTTTACTTTACTGTAATTGCTATCACATAGGGGGGATTACAAGCCCTCCATGTGATAGCAGATGGTGGTGACAGGTCCAAAAGACCCCAAGTGTCACCTTTACACTCCAAATAAGCTATTGAAATGCACATCGCACTTCAATAGTTTATAGCTGGGCTTCAGGAGCCCAGCACTAACAGCTATGAGACCGGAAGTAATGTAATCTGATTCGCTCCCGGTCCCCGGGAATCGCCGAATGGAGGTTCGTCCATCTCCCCACCGTAGGAGGGGCAACGGAGCCTGGGAGACACGGCGGGGGTGTCGGGCGGGTTTTAAGGGCCCCCCTGATAGTGTACATAGTGTACAAGTTTTAAGGGCCCCCTTGATAGTGTACTAATGCAGTGTTTAACCTAATGTTATTTTATGTGATTTTTAAATTTTTTACAAGTTTGATCCTCTACATTCTGCAATCAAATCAATGCAGGATTTTATAACAGACACTAGAGGGAACTGTCGTGAAACTCATTTGAATCACTCAGCCTCTTAGCTGTTGAAATGTCAGCCACCCAGGGAGTGCATTGTTATAATGAGTCAGGTGACTCATAGGGGTTGATTTACTAACCTTATAAACACACCACGAACATGTATACACCTATGTAGTGTGTTCCCTCCCAGCATGATCTATGGGTGGAATCTAAACACCTTTGTAGTGTGTACACACCCAGCAGGTGTGTTATGCAAAGCCCTGCATGAATTACAAGGTGATGTTGTGTAATTTAGCTCTATGTTGTGTTGCTTGCGTTGATGAATGCAGGAATGTAAATGCATGAGCTAACCATTTTTGTCTAAACTGTGAAGCAGCATTATATATGCATCATGTGCATGATTTTTCCATATATGGCATTAGTGGAAATATGCTTTTAGAGACTTTTTGGTTGATAAATACGTTTTGCTGTGTGAAAATCACACGCACCTGGTGCGTGCGTGTGTTTAGGTTAGTAAATCACCCCCATAGACTTCCAATATATAAAGGAGTATTAAAGCGCAACCATTGTGCCACATTGCAAAGCAGGAAGCAGAGCTTGAATATGTAATGAGAAAAATTGGTTGCCCTCTTTTACCTATATAAATAAATCTATCAATGGGGGTTCATTTATAGCAGGTTTGCACAGAGCATAACTGTATGCACTACTGCCACTGGATGGAGTCAAGAAGCATAAGCAATTCCTATGCTCCTCGGCTCTATCTAGTAGCAGTAATGCCACTATACACTGTTCCAACTTGTTATAAATCAGCCCCACAGAGTTAAGGGTTTTAAGACAATAACAAACACATAATATTACTAACATCTAACTGATCTATTTTACATGTCTGTTAAAAAAAATCCATAAAAGACTATACATTCCCTTTCATACATTTGTTTATAGAAACTGCAAATAGAGATGACAGGCTGGCTAGTCTCCATGTAGATTTTTATTATGTGACACTCCTAAGGAAGTACAGATAACATGAAACAATGATCAAAAGATGTAGACTATGGTTTTTGTGTTCCGTAGAGTCATTCACTTTCCTAACCACTTCCTCTGTCTGTTTCAGGTTGTGTATATGAAGGCCGACACTATAAAGAAGGGGATGAATTTCAGCCAGAAGGGAACAAATGTCTTAAGTGCTCCTGCATCGTAAGTTGTGGTCATGAAAAAGCGACAGACAGTTTTTTGTTGTTGCTAATTTATAAAATGACATAAAGTAGAAGAGAAGGAAAATAACTCTCCATCTACAGTGTAAGTTATACATTAGTAGTCACGCTGAATATTCTACAACTATGTGGTGAATGAAACTTAAATTAGATAATATGGAAATTGTACAATCATATTGTCATATTGTCATGTGTGTGGCCATATTTAGAGTACAACTGTGAGATATGGACATGCAAATGTTTGCATATTCTTAACAAGCAGTAATTAAGCTTTAAAAAACCCTCACTGGCCACTATAACTGCATACATTGTGGAAAATTGTAAATTATCCTTAAAGTGTACTTCCACTTTTGCAGCCTGATTGGGATAACACCTATTTTATATTTGTTACATGTTCCAATTCACATAGCATAAGCTAAAACATATTCATAAAATGCGTGCAGTTTAAATTGCGTTTACTTGGGTTCGGGTTTCTTGGCTTCTTAAGGGTAAACATTTCTACATGCTTCTCCTTCTTTGTAATGTTAAGAGGGGCTGCGAGTGGTGAGGGGTTAAAATATTACAACCCTGGCTTCTGCATTCAAATTTTAATGAAGTTATCGTGAGAAACACAATCCTAAAATTTCAGTCCTAAAGCTGGCCATGCACTGTAATATGCAGGTTGAACTAAGAAAATATTATAGATTCCTCCAACAATGCTTATGAGCATTGATAGAGGAATCTCCCGTTGTTTTTATTGCATTCTGACAGCAGCCGTCGGCTGCTGTCAGATTACCCAAAAGGAGCTGGCAGCTTATTGGCCGCCCGCTCTGCTTTTTCAGAGATTTTCTGACTGGCTCCTTCGACAAGCTGACTGAGGGATGCTGGCCAAAAGGGTGACAACAGCGGCACCACTGTGCGAATTTTGGCCTGTTTATGAAGAACCAGCCGAAATTCATGTAGTCTATGGCCAGCTTAAGTCTTTCTGAAAAAGACAGATCACTGTGAAGGTGCTCAGAAGAAATCTGGATTCAGACATGTTGTCTGCTGCAACAAAATGTCTAAAAAGGTGAGAAATATGTTTAAAAAAATATATTTTTCTTTATGCTGCGTGAATAGGAACACATAAACATATACAGGGGGTTTTCCCAAATTTGACTGAAAAAATTACTTCACAGTGCACATAGCTACAGCGGTCAACATGGGTTGCTTCTAAATCGTATTTACTGTGGAAAAAAAAAATTCAGACAGGGCAATAGTTGAGTAAACAGTATATGTAGGTGAGACAAGGACACAAATCACCTCCTAAATATCATCTTCAGGGCCTATTACCCACTCCTCTTTCCTTACTAAGCAAATCAGCATCTTGGATATTTGACTCAAAAAATCAAAAAGTCTCCTTTAGGTCACATCCATAAAAACTTTTTTTCTTTTCACACCCTTTGCATTCTGCAGTAATTGTTAAAGATCCATCAAGAAACTGAGACAAGGGGGGTGATTTACTAACCTAAACACACGCACGCACCAGGTGCGTGTGATTTTCACACAGCAAAACGTATTTATCAACCAAAAAGTCTCTAAAAGCATATTTCCACTAATGCCATATATGGAAAAATCATGCACATGATGCATATATAATGCTGCTTCACAGTTTAGACAAAAATGGTTAGCTCATGCATTTACATTCCTGCATTCATCAATGCAAGCAACACAACATAGAGCTAATTTACACAACATCACCTTGCAATTCATGCTTGGCTTTGCACAACACACCTGCTGGGTGTGTACACACTACAAAGGTGTTTAGATTCCACCCATAGATCATGCTGGGAGGGAACACACTACAGAGGTGTATACATGTTCGTGGTGTGTTTATAAGGTTAGTAAATCAACCCCAAGGTCTCAGACAAGGCATGTTTCACACATTTTTGTGCTGCAACGCCATTCTTTTTGAGTCGCACCCCATCAAAGCTGCATTGCAGCACACCGCAATTTGAAGTAATGCCCTACCATGCATTACAATGTTTGCACTCCACAAAATTGGCACATGAGCATTTTCCAGTTCACTGTGGTGTGTATGTAGCCAATTTACATGAGTGGGCTGCCTAAATGTAACACATGAGTGTCATAATGCACATTAACGCACATGCGATAAAGAACGGAATGCGCCGGTGCAAATGGGTCCTAAGGCCCCATTCACACTGCGCAATTCGCAAATCGCGCGTTTGTTGCGCGATTTGCATTTTGCGCAATATCGCGCGATTTGTCGCGCGATATAGCACAAATGCTTGCATTGAGCAAGCTCGAATCAAGGCAAAATCCGTTCCAAAAAGGGTCCTGCTGTAGCGACACATGACCCGCGACAGCAGGACCCTTTGCCCCACTGCCAAGCATTGGAGCGCGATATCGCACAATAAATAGCCGCGATATCGCAGGAATTACCGCACGATAAATCGCACAATGTGAACGGATACTTGTATTTGCTATGCCTCTATGCCTATATATTTTTCTCATTCCTGAAATGAAAAGCTGTTCCTGATTACAAAACAGACCCATATATTTACTTATCTCTTTGGCTATGACATGAAGCATGTGAACTGCCTATTTACCATAAATTTGTTTTCAGACTTGGAAAAGTGAATATTTCATAAGATATAAAAATAGCAGGTGAACAGATGAGTGGATATCTGGGAATCGCCTCTTATCTCAGAAAAGACTTACCATATAGACATGAAAGAGTAACAAAAAATCAGCAGTAATGTATAATAATAATTCATTTGAGGTTCTGACAGTATGCTCCTTTGTATCAGAAAGTGCTGAATAGATGGAACAGATATTTCTAAATTTTAATAAGTAAAAGCCAAAACATTCCTTTCACTTTGTTCATAACTACTGACCATTTTAATAAACCCCAAGATTTCATGTTTATATATCAAATCCCTCTATAGTCTAAGGGGGTTATTCACAAAGCTGCTGAAGGCAGCTGAGTGAAAAACCAAGCCAAAGTGAACAGAGCTGAACTACGTTCGGCTACTCACTTCAGCTCAGTACGGCTGATTTCAGCTATACCTCTACTAAAATCAGCTGCTTTCGGCTGCTTTCGGCTGCCTTCGGCTGAGCCGGAGTGCAGAAGGAGTTCGACTCAGCCGATCTAACATCTGGATAGGCAGAGCCAAAGCTCCGCCAGCTCACGTGCTGCCGTTCGCCCCTATTCTCATAGGGGTCGAATGGCAGTGAGTGAATAGCCGAATGCCGCCGAGCGGCCTTCGGCTCGGCTATTCAACTCACTACCTCCAAGGTAGCGAGCGGGATAGAAAATAATGTAAACAAATGAAAAAACATAGTTTAAAAATTATTTAAATAAATGTAGAAAAAAAGAAAAATTTCAAAAAAGTCAGTAAAATTATATAAATTTTTTTTTTACGAAAAAAAGAAAAACAGGGTGGGGTCCTACTCCCAAACCATACCAGACCCTTTAGGCCCAGTAGGAAAATTAAAGGGACCCCATTTAAAAAAAAAAAAAGCGTGAGGTTGCCCCCAAATTCATACCAGGCTCTTTAGGTCTGGTAGGAATTTTAGGAGGGACTCCAAGTTAAAATTAAAAAAAAGTCGGTGAGACTTCGCCCAGCTGTTTACATGTTTTTTTTAAATATTATTTTATTTTATATCAACACTGCAAATTTCAATCTCAAACTTTTTTGAAGTGTAGAAACATTTACAGATAAAATAGGATGAATACCAATGAGATAGATAGCAATTATTTCACTGATCCATATCAAGAGGCCACATAGGTGTTATATATGTAGAATTAAGAATTCAGGTAGAGATAAATATTCTAGACATCTAGATCATTATACCTGCATTATAAAATGTACTGTACTGTAAATAGACTAAACAGCTCTTTTCCTGTTCATGCAATGTCTAAAAAGGGTGCAAAATCATTGATTTTATCCTATACGCACAAGCACATATACAGATGTTTATATGTATGCAGGGACACAAGAGCGCATACACCCACAGCTGGTCACTGCCATGGAACTTGATGTAGGCGTCTAATATGCATCTTAAAGTGTAGCAGATTGCCCTTTCGATAATCCAAAGGCATCTCTGTCTAAAATATTAAAATTGACCAGATAGGTCTTCTTCTTAATCTATATGTATAGCCATACTGTATACTTCATTGTGGCGTTTTTCATCCAAAACATGCCTGTGAATTGTCTCAGATGTTTTGTCATATGCTGAAAGATGTTCGTACATTTGTAAATATTCTAGCTAGATTCAGAGGTCTATTAAAGTGAGGGTTATACGGTATGTCTTATTCCCATTACACACAAAAATTTCAAGCACATTTAGACCTTTTAGAAAGTTTGTGAATGTGCAATCTTCACTGTAATTGCCTTTTTGGCACTGCATCAACACTCTACAGTGAGGGGGAAAGCCAAGTGCTTGTAAAGGTAACTGCAGATTCCTACTTACTAATATGCCAAAACAAAGACAAATATTTGCAGAACTTCTGCTGTGAAAGACCAGTACTTGGTTAAATGTCTTGTACACCTCCTAGAAGATGTCAAAGATAAAATAGAACATCAGTAGTACTTTGTAATGCATGTTATACTTTTCTTTTTTATATGAGACAAGCAAAGCAAATAGTTTGTGTTTAATTTATTACTTAGGTATAGACAGAACCATAAAAACAACAGGAATTAAACATCAGCTATTTTTCCAGCCAGCCTGCTTCGTGTCAGTGTGTTATCTGTCAGTTGTGGTTCAAAGCTTACTAGGAGCATGCAGCACCATAGATGACTTATATGGATCTGCAAGTTGTTTAACCACTATATTTTTCAATCACTGATTATTCTACTTCTAAAAAGAAATGAACTAAAATAAAATAAACAAAAAAAAAAAGAATAATAAAGGACGAATCGCTTAAAAGATTGAGAGTGGAAAACATAACAAGTAACTCTTTAAGTAAACATATTGCATCCTAAATAAAAGTACAGATTT